CGCAGTCGGCGCCGTCTTGCGCGCTGCCGCTTCGCGCTGCTGCGCCGCCGCCTTGGACGCTCGCTCCTGTGCCGCCTTGCGCGCCGCCGCTTCGCGTTGCTGCGCCGCCGCCTTGGACGTGCGCTCCTGCGCCGCCTTGCGCGCCGCTGCTTCGCGCTGTCTCGCCGCCGTCGCGGCGTCTTGCTCGCGCTTCTTAGCCGCCACTTCACGCTGTCTCGCCGCCGCCAACGCCGCCTGCTCGCGCTTCTTCGTCGCTTGCACCGTCGGCGCGTTCAACGTCGCCGTCGATTTGGCCTTTGTCGCCGTTCGCTTTTGCTGCGTCACAACCGTCGGCTTCCCGTACTACGCGCGCGCACGAACACGTTCAAGTCAGTCAATCACGTTTTCACTCATCTCTTCCATTCTCGCCGTCCCACGTTCCGTCATTCGTCCCGTCGCCGCCTCGCGCTCGTCGCGTTTTGGATAATCCACCCGCTCGCGCCCGTCGAATGTCTCTCGCACGCACCGACTCATCGTACGCCCCGCTCGGTTCACACGCCAACCCAACGCTCGCGAGCACGCCGACCACCGCGAGCGCCGCGCTCGGGATCCGTCGCGCGACGTCCACGCCGTCGCCGTCATCCGTCGCGTCCCGCCGCGTCGTCGATCGCGTCACCGCCCGTCGTCCCCGTCGCGCGTCCGCCCGTCGCTCACCGCCCCGCCGCGTCGCCGGCGCCGGGACGACCGCGACGCGCGCGCGGGCGTCGACCCGCATCTCGCGCGCGCGGTGTGTCGAGCCGTCGACGCGGTCGACGCGATCGAGGCGATCGAGCGATCGCGACGGTCGGATTCGCGTGATCGCGTGGGCGCGCACGCGTCGTCTCGCGATACGCCTGTGTCGCGTTATATACGTGTCGCGTGTCCGAATGTATGTCTATATGTGTGCGCGTCGATCGATCGTCGTCCCGTGCCGTGATGGCGTTCTGCGTCGTCGTATACGCGTGGGTGTCGTCGTGCGCGCGTGATCATTGTCTACGTCTTTGTGTACGCGCCATTAGTCCGAGAATGCAGTATATCCGTGCGCGCGTCGGCGGGCCGCGCGACCCGCGCGCGGCGGCGCGCGCACCGTG